TTCTGTGTGTGTCATTCTGTATGTCTTTTCTCACTAAGGGAGGGGGAGGGGCAAGAATGGGTAGGTACACGCACAGCTTCACTTTCCATAGTGGGAAGCTTAGGAGCCGTGTTAGAGTCGATAGGAACATTATATAATGTTTTTATACTTTGCTTTACAACACAAAATGTACAAAGGTGTAAAGAATAATAGAACAGATAGCCACTTACCCACCACCCACTTAAAAAATAAGATGTTGCCAATTGAATTGTTATTTGAAATCAGAAGATAACCCATGAGAGCTAAAGCTGGTGCCAGCTGACTGGCATTGTTAGGTCCAGCCTCACCTTCCACGTGGTCATCCAGTGTCCATTCCCATTCATTAAAAAGTGTATTTGCACATCATTGATTTGGGGTGCCACCTTGTGTTCTCTCCTAATTCAGGACTTTGCACCCATCCCATCAGTCTTTAGTCCACGAGCGATGGGTGTTATTTTGGATGTTGAGGCCCCATTGTTTCCAAACTGAGAGGGCCACCCCCAACTAACTGCTTCTTCAGTTCAGAGTTTTCTGTTTATTTTTCCACATAAACTTTAGAATCAGCTTGTCTAGTTCCATTACAAAAAGAAAAATTGGAATTATAACTAGAAGCAAGTTAAAATTAAATCCCAGGTTTCTTGATGCCAGTTTGATGGCCTTTTAACACCTTCCTGCCTCCCAGGTTTAGCTTCTTACTGCTTTGGTGGTGTCCTGAAAATGAAGACATTTGAATATTGCTATCAAATAAAGCTTGGCCATTCCCGGAATTTTGTTCCATATGGGATTTCTGGTGGGGTTTTAATTCTCACATGTTTGTAGTTCAGTCCATAGGAGGTGCTTTTCAGGATCAAAGAAAAATGGCCATGTGGAATGCATGTGAGCATTGCCCTCACTGCTGTGCTTTGGTTTATCACCCTTGGTGTGAGAGTTGGCATTTGGAGAATCTGGAAACGTTGGCTTCTGCTCTGTAAGAGATTTCCTAGCTTCCATTCTTAAAATGAATGTGCCCACCCACCACTGTGCACAGCCTTATTATCATCTACTGTGAGACATTTTCTGTGTGCCTTTTTTAGAATTTTAGTATGTAAGAGCTGGCAAATGATGTGAGCACTGCAAATCAGGGTAACTTCCCTAGAGCAGGGCTGCTCCTGTGGCTCAGACTCGTGGTCACTACCATCGCGAGCAGCTGCTTCCTTGTCCCAGCCTCCGGGAAGCCAGCCTTCTCAGCGCACCAGTCATTGATTATATGTATATCGTGTGCTTTCTTCGTACTTTTTAATTAAACTTTTTATTTTGAGGTAGTACAGATTCCCAGGGAGCTCTAAGAAGTAATACAGAGAGAACCTGTGTCCACTTGACACAGGCTCTGTCCCAACCAGGATGCCCCCTCCATGCAGTCATAATCCAGACATCCCCTCGCCATCAGGATCCCTCCCGTTGCCTTTTATAGCCACACCTACACCTTTCCCAGCCCCCAGCAACCACTGCTCTCTTCTCCTTTCTATAGTTTTCTCGTCTCAAGAATGTCATATGTAAGTGGGCCACACAGCATACAGCCTCCTGGGTATGACTTGTTCATGCAGCCTAACTCTCTGGAGACCCACCAGGTTGCTGTGTGGATCAGTAGCTCATTCCTTTTCATTGCTGTGTAGTATTTCATGGTATGGATGTACCACAGTTTCTTAACCACTCACCTATTGAACAGTATCTAGGTTGTTCCCAGTTTGGGACTATTAGAGTAAAGTTGGCTATAAACACTCAGATACACATTTTTTTATGTAATTATAAATCTTCATTTCTCTGGGATAAATGCCCATGTTTGTTTTTAAGAAACTACCGCACTCTTTCCAGAGTGGCTGTACTGCTTTACATTCCCACCAGCAATACATTAAGGGTTCGGTTTCTCTGCATCCTCACCAGCATGTGGGGTTGTCAATTTTTTATTTTAGTTGCTCTTGTAGGTGTCTGGTGGTATCTCATGTGGTTTTAACTTGCATTTCCCTGATGGCTAATGATATGGAACATCTTTTCATGTGTTTATTTTGCATCTGTAGATCCTCTTCACTGAAATGTCTCTTCATGTCTTGTACTGATTGGATTGTTTTTATTGTTGAGTTTTGAGAATTTCTTATATATTCTATTTGTTAAATACATGGTTTTCAAATATTTTATCCCAGTCTATATCTTGTCTTTCTATCTTATTAACAGAATCTTTAGCAGAACAAAGGATTTCAATCTTGATGAGGTCCAATTTTTCAGTTTTTCCTTTTATGGATTGTGCTTTTCACATCTGGTCTGTGAACTCTTTGCCTAGCTCCAGGTCCTAAGGATTTTCCTAAAAGTTTTAGTTTTACATATAAGCCCATGGTCCATTTCCAGTAAACTTTTATACAGGGTGTGAGACTTGGATGCCCATTTGCTCTAGTGCCTTCCGTGGACAAGGCTGTCCTTCCTTCCTTGAGTCGCATACCAGCCGTTGTCAGCCACAGTGGGCACCTCTGTGTGGGCCTCTCTGGGTTCTCCGCCCGCCGTGATCTGCTTGTCTGTCTCTAGTCAGTACCACACTGTCCTGATGGCTAAATCAGTTACACTGATTTCTCCCATTTTCTTCTTTTTTATGATGTCTATTTTAAAATCTTTCTCAGTTGATTCTGACATCTCTGGGTTGGCATCTGTTGTCTTTTTTCTTTTGGTTTGAGGTCTTCTTGGCTTTCGGTATGATGAATGATTTTTTTACTGAAATCTGGACCTTAAATAAGGACCTCACTCAAACCTTCTGCTTTAGCTGACTTTCTCTCTCACTACTCTCTCTGTTAGGGCAGGGGATCCACTTCATTAGTTTAGGTGGGGTGTAAGTGCAGGTTCCCGTCAGGCCCACAGGACAACTCCCAGGCCCCTGCTTCCTCATAGTTCCCACCGACTCTGGCTGGTTGGGGGCAAAAGTCCTGATGCTCCACTGGGCCTCCTCTGACACGCTCAGCAGGGAGAAGATGGCACCTTGCTACAGGGTGCAGGGGAAGGGCCTGTATGGGGTGCAGCCCAGTGGGAATGAGCTTTGAGGCCCCTGTGGCCTTGCTGGGGGGAGGGTGGGGCATGGCTGGAGCAGGGCCGTTGCCTCTCTCAGGTTCCTGTCCTGCGGGCAGGCCCAGGGGCTCACCACGGTGCCGCTCCTGGTTCCCAGCTCTTCTGCTTTCTCCCCTCTGCCCTCAGGGCCCTCTGATGTTTGTTCTGTAATGTCCAAGGCTGTCGATGGTGCTGAGCAGGAGGAGAGGGGAGAGGGCATCTCTGCCGTCTTCCACAGCCAAGTCCGTCTGCCTACTTTAAAACTGATGATCCGCTTCTGAGAACACAGTGCTGTGGGCAGGTCTATGCAATTTCCAGAATGGATAGTTTGGGTTGCTCAGAAGTGCTGTGTGACTGTCCTGCTTACATACCTCTGTGCTTTCCCAGGCTCATGGTGTGCTCCTGCGGCCTCTGCTTAGGCACCGGTGCAGCCCTCTTCCCACCTGACCCGCCAGCCGAGAGGGTTTGCATCTTACCTCCCTTTCTAGACCTCAAGGAAATGTTAAAACATCTATACATATGCAGAACGTAACCCCGTGCCCATCAGCCAGTATCAGCCATCCCCAGCCACGGCCTCTCAGTTTCATCCACACACCTCCTTCATTCTCTTACCATGCCAGATTGTTTTATAGTAAAAGTCCCAGGTATCATTTCATCTATGAATACTGCAGTATATACCACTAAAAGATAAGTTTCCACACCTAACATGAGAAACAGTAAGTCCTTAATATACTCAGCTATCTGGGCATATTTACAGTATTTATAGGGCAAACTTCTCAATTACAGACTTCATCTGATTCATTCAGCTTCTTGTAGTATCCATCACTGTGCTGTGCACATAATAGATTTTTAGAAACTGTATCTTGAAGTAATTAATTAATATAAAATAATACTTTAAAAACTATTGAGCACTTTCTTGAATAAAAGAGTCTAAATAGAAACTCATTTAACTTTTAACAACAAATGTTCCAGATATACAATGAGATTCAACACTATTAATGAATGATTGTCATGAAAACTATATTTTAGATATGTGATATGATATATATATATATGAGATATATGCATGCTGTAGCACATTTTAGTCACCATTTTCGTAAAAGCAATGCATTTGCCTTCTAGTGAGTTAGAGTATAAATTGTATTCATATACAGAGAACATGGGGCTGCTAAATTTTGCAAATCTCCTTTTTCCCCAGTGGCACTTTGATGAGATCCTTTATTATAGGTTATATGTTAGTGCAGTATTGCCAAAGTATAGTATAGCCAAAATGTTTAGGAAGAGGAAACATTTAACTGTGTTAACAACTAGATAATTGGGGTACTTGTTCTTTGAGGATTTCCTGAGGTTTCTCCTGCCAACAGAAATCATAAGTTACACATGGTCAAGAAATTAGATCATATTCTAATACTTGCACGCGTTGTAGTTGCATCCATATGAGACACTCCTCAAGATGGAGGGGAGGAGTCAAGTGGAACATCGGGTGGCCCATGCTCTGTGCCTTTATTAATGACCCAGGCCACCTGCCAGAGCGCAGGTCCAGGGCACATGGATGGAGCCCGCCGTGGGTTCCACCACTGTCTGTGGTGCTGTGGTGCATCTCGTCCCTCCATAGGAGAGGCTTGCTAAGATGTCCTGTCACCTCTTTCTCCCTGGTCACAGCTGCCCAGGGCCCCCAGCCCCGGGAGCCAGGGCCACCCCTGCCCTCCCAGGCACCTCCCTAAGTGGAGTGTTGTCCTGTTGGGATCACTGGTGCCTGGAACAAGCCACAGTTGGGAGCATGGAACCGCGTCCCCATGGCAGGTCTGTCCTTGCTTCCTGGTCTTTGCCTCAGTTTGCAGTAGCGCTGTCGACACTTCTAGAGCACAAGGGCCTCATATCACCCACCACGGTGCACTGAGTATTATCTTCTTGCTGTTTTTCAGACAGAGACAGTCTCCACCAATCAAGACACCCTCCAAAGTGCTTTGCCATGGATATAGAAGATGAAGAAAACATGAGTAAGATTCGGGACTGTCATATAGTATCAAGCAGTTAATTTTCCGTGGAAAGCTGAGTGTTTTTGTAAATTTATTTAATGAAGCAAATTAGGGAAATGTGATTGTTCCTCTGATATGGGCTATTAACAGTGGCATGTTCTTAATTTTTTATATAGTCTGTGCAGTGGGTGTCAGTATTTACTGTGGGCGTTTGCCGTCCAGCCGTAATCTAGACTTCTCAGTCCTTGTGTTGGTCCTGGGCCATCACTCATATACCAGGAAGGGAACCTCAGCCTCCAGATGCTTGTGTATGAAGCTGCGTGGCTCCCTGCCAAGTCCCTGCCATTCTCATAGGAATGGTCCACATTTCCATGCACGTAAACCTCTGAAATCGATTTAAATACCTGGGCAGTACATCAATTTTTCCCTTCAAATACAGCGAATTCTCCCAGCTCACATGAGTCCGCTGATCCTAAGTTCCCAAAGACTCCAGTGATCCTCAGAGCTGGTGTGAACGGAGCTCAGTTTTGGGCCCCTTCACTTTTCCACTGCTCTGGGCAGAGGGGACAGCCAGCCTCGAATACGCCAGCTTTCCCCACTCAGCCTTTTTCTCTATGAAAAGCTTGGTGAATATGCTTCTCTCTTCTGTTTTATTTTAAATCCCAGATAGCAGTGCATTTAAGTGAGATTTAGATCCTCCCACACAATGGGAGCTTTTAGTAGGCAAATTATAACAAGATGCAGTTTTTCTGATATGCACATGTGTGTCCACTCTCGTCCATGCCCAGTTCCCAAGGAAGAGCATGCAGGTCTAAATGACCAGTGATATATTACTGAAAGGGGTCCCTGATGACTAGGACGTAGTTCAGCCCATTTCCCATGACTTCACCCAAAACTGACCAACGGGGCCTTGGCACTGCGCTCATCAGCCTGTGATCCAGAAGTCACCTGGCAGACACTTCTGCCTGGCTGGCTACCCCTTGGGTTTTGTTGTGGATAACATGGCGTGGGCTGATCTTTATTGCACAGACCACACACTAGTGTCCTCTGGTGGAAGCCAGTCCTTGTGAGGCGCAGTCATGAGCAAACAGGACCAGCTACCTTGCAGAGCCCTTGGGGATGGACTCTGCCTCCTCCTGCCAGCGAGTGCCAGGCCTCTGGCTGCCTGGTGGGGCTTTCCTCGGGGTGGCGTCCCCCCTGGAGCTGGCCCCTGAGGCCCTCTGAGAGCCCAGCCTCCCGTCCTGCCCATTCACTGTTCCACATGAGCATGTATGCCGATGTCCCCTGGGCCTCCTTTTCGTCAGGACTGTGGGCCATCATCCACGGTGGCCGTCCTCTGGTTCAGGGGAATGGTGATGGTGTGTGGATTATGTAACTGTCCCAAACTGCTCCTTGGTAACTTACCAAGATAAAGAATCCTTCTGAATGATTTTTCTAGAAGGATAAGCTGCTGGTTCTAGTGCTGAAACTTTGAAATGCCAGTCCTGTGTTTTCTGTTGTTTTGAAAGCAACCAACATTTTTATCATGATTAATATTCACATTTATGAAATAAAGTAGCATGATACGTAAAGAGAGCATCTATTTGAGAAGAGTTGTAATAGTGGGATGCCTTTCCAATTTTAATATTTTATTTTCCTTAACCTATTAGCATTTTTAATAAGATAGAATATAAGCAGTAGTTTAGTGCCTCTGAAGCAAATAAGAACCTAGAATTTATGTGAACTCTGTTAGAGAAAGTGTATTTTTCTTATAATTTACAGATTATTTGTCAATCCAATACTGATTATGTTTACCTTAAAGGAATGCATTTGTTTGTTTCAGAGGGTGTCTGATCAAATGCATGTCAGAATGTGTTCATACTGATCTGGTCTCCGCCCTGATGATCGTGTGGCAGCAGCATCAGGATGTGAGCAGCCATGTGCTCGATAATGTTCTCGCTCATTTGTTGGCCTCAACTCTGTCTGCTCTGCTCTTTTGAATCTTTGTTTCCTTTGAGCACCGAAAGGAGTAACCTATCGAGCTTTTGCTGGAGGATGTTATAAATGAAAATTTAGTGTCCATTCCATCAGCTTTGTCAACTGGGAAAAGTGGTGTGTGTGTCACTATGTGGGAGAAATGAGTCTGCAGGGAAAGGCCATCCGTCTCCGCATCTCTGCCACGGAGCCCAGCCCGCTCACCCATGGGTGTGTTTAGACTAGGGTCACTCCGTCCTTCTTGGCGGAGTGATGATGGCCCCGGAAATCTGAGAGCTTTAACTGCAGAACTGGCAGCCAGCCGCCTAGACTTCCTGTCACGTTAAGCACCCCCACGGGTAGAGCTAGTGAGCATTTTCCCAATTCCATCACTTACTTCACATACGAGAATCTACTTTTACATCATGTGGTAGAAATAGAGCCTTGAGCCACCACATTGGGGTGCTTGTAAATTGGTTTACAATTGTAAATAATATTTTGGTTACTTAAAAGACTTCCTGTGGGTTTCCCGAAGCTAGCCGTAGGTCTTTGAATACAGCCCTGCCGACAGTGTCCTGAAGCTCTGTATGACCATGAGGCCTGTGGCCACGAGAACTAACCAGGAAAACGGGATCGCTTCTTATTTTTTAAAAAGCTTGATAGACTTAAAGGCAAGACTGAACACTTTTTAATTACCCTTTTTGAAATTAAGATCCTATTTTGTCATGACCTTTAGAGTTCTAAAAATATTAACTGTGTATACAAACTGCCCTTAAAAGGTAGGATAACCAAATTATTCCATAAATCCAGGAAATATTTGTTTTTTAAAGAAGATGAAATTTCCAGCTCTGGTCGGGAAGCTATAGCCTTCCTGCAGTTTCAGTTCATACCTGTCCTTCTGTGCCTTTTCACTCTGGCAAGGAATGTGCTAAGGATTCGGAGGCAAATTAATCCCATGTACGATGAAAAAATTTTTAATGAGCATTAGAAAGGAAGCTGTATCCTTCAAAACTAATTTCTGAAAGGCCAGAATACTTTCTGTAATTACATAAGCAGTTTTCTAAGATTGATTAATGAACTAAATCAAATAAGTGCACATATCAATTAAGTATTTTAAATCTGGAACACTAATTAACTTGTGAATGCGTGTTTTAAGTCCAGTTACCTCTTCCGGGAGATGCTGCAGGTTAAAACCCAGCATGAGGACAGCAGGAGGGCAGGCAGGGAACAACTTGCCGGAACGCGGCAGACACCTACTGGTGCTGTACTAGACTTGCTGATGTGAGGTCTTTCTGGATTGGTTTGCCATCTCACATCTGGACAAGCTTAAGTAAGCATCTCCAGATGCTTCAGAATATTGTCATAGAAAAAAATTATTTTAAAAACTCACCTTTTAATGCAAAAGCAGTTGGTAACACCAGATAGAAATGGTATGAGCCATAACTTAGCAAAATGTCAAATGACTCATTTCAGTTTAGGTGGACAGTGCTATGGTTAAACATGTAGTTCACGCAAACAGCAAGGAATAAAATGTATAACACACATCACTTAACCAGTTACAAAGAGCGATAAAGGAATCTATAAATTTTGCATTTACAAGGTCCTGCAACGAAGGCGTTGTAAGTTACTCTTTCTGGGCACCGCAGGTCCGAGCAGCACAGATGTTAAGGACAGCTGCCATCAGGACAGTGCGCCCACCGAGGACGGCAGTGCGCTGCGGCTTGGAGAGGGCGGACCGCTCCCCAATGGGGGTGGAGGGGGCGCCAGCAGGAAGCGGCCCCTGGACGAGGGCAGCAATGGCCACATCAGGTTCCGCCTGAAGAAGAGGAGGAGGGCGCCAGGGCCCGCGCTGCCCAAGAACGCCTTGATGCAGCTGAACGAGATCAAGCCTGGCCTCCAGTACACGCTGCTGTCCCAGACGGGGCCCGTGCATGCGCCCCTTTTCGTCATGTCTGTCGAAGTGAATGGGCAAGTCTTTGAGGGTTCGGGCCCCACAAAGAAAAAGGCTAAGCTACATGCTGCTGAGAAGGCTCTGCGGTCTTTTGTCCAGTTCCCCAATGCCTCTGAGGCCCACCTGGCCATGGGGAGGACCCTGTCCACCCACACAGACTTCACGTCTGACCAGGCTGATTTCCCTGACACGCTCTTCAACGGCTTCGAGACCCCGGACAGGTCGGAGGTGCCCTTCTACCTGGGTGCCAACGGCGACGACTCCTTCAGCTCCAGCGGGGACCTCAGCTTGTCAGCGTCCCCAGTGCCTGCGTGCCTGGTCCAGCCGCCCCTGCCTGTGCCCCCGCCATTCCCACCCCCGAGCGGAAAGAACCCTGTGATGATCCTGAATGAGCTGCGCCCGGGACTGAAGTACGACTTCCTCTCGGAGAGCGGGGAGAGCCACGCCAAGAGCTTCGTCATGTCTGTGGTCGTGGACGGCCAGTTCTTCGAGGGCTCGGGAAGGAACAAAAAGCTCGCCAAGGCCCGAGCCGCGCAGTCTGCCCTGGCGACCATTTTCAATTTGCACTTGGATCAAACTCCGTCACGCCAGCCCATCCCCAGCGAGGGCCTGCAGCTGCACTTACCACAGGTGAGAAAGGCCCTGCCGCCACGGCGACCCATCTCCGTGATGCTTTGGGCAGGACGGGGCCCCCCTTGCAGCATCACTCTGTCCCCAGGCGGACAGTCACGGTGAATCTGGCTCCTGGCAGCCTTTCATCACTTGCACCAGGCCCCTGGGACGCCCTCCAAGGCCATTGGCCATTGCATGGGGTGGGACACGGGAGCCCCGCCCCCCAGAGGGATGCCAGCACTCACCAGACAGACTCCACTCCACACGGCGGTCCGCAGGGCCATTCCTGTGCTGCTCACCCCTGCGGGGACCCCATCTGTAGCGGTCTTTGACAGAGGAGAGGGGAGGGTGGGCTGAAGCTCCGGAGCCTTGCCCCACCATAGTGTCTCATCTGGGAATCTCAAGTACAAGATTCATTCTCTGCGGAGCTCCGAGTACAGCCTTGCCGGCTGGCCCAGTCACCAGCTAGAAGCCAGGCCTAGGTTGGGGGTCAGGGCCTGGGGCTGGCTGGCAGCTACCCCGAGGCTGCAGCCCACATGGGCAGTGAGCCACGGCAGTCGCGAGGCTGGCTGGAGGCTGGGCGGTGGGCCCTCTGGAGCGCTCGGCTCCCACTGGGCGCTGCGGTCCCCCACCTGGTCCCTCCTGCTTGGCCTTGCCTTTGGTCTCAGACTGCACCACCCCCCAGATAAAGCTGGGGTGAAGGAGGGTACAGGAGAGGGGAGGGTGAAAGAGAAAAGCACAGCGAGTCACTGCCTCCTGACCCTGCACCTGCTCCTGGCCGCCTGCAGAAATTGCTCTTTTAGGGACAAAATCTGACCTTCTCTATTTGGTGACACTTGTCAAAATGCCATTGAATTTGACAATAAAACATACATTGGTTTGATCAGAGAAAGTGGATCCCGAATTGGCCAATAGTATAGCTTGTGTCCTCGCAGGAGAGTCCAAGATTGTCCCGTTTCTTGCTCACCTTTGAGGACAATTAGAGTAACTCTATACCATGTCACCTGAGATGACCACGAATTCTTATTTGTAAAAGCAGAAAATTTATTTTATTTTGCCTGAAGTAATCCCATACAGCATCAGTATGAAGTAACACATTCAAAGTATCTTGATTTTTTTATGAATGAAATGTTTCCTATAGTAAGCTCTTGTCAACATTATTCATAAGAACTGTTATATATTATAATTGTACAAATTAGTGGCACAAGTTCCTAGGTGCTTTTTTATTTTCAGGTTTACTATTCACTAAAAACTGTCAGCCCGAGTTGAAAGGTGTCTGATGCGACCCGTCTTCCCTTAACGTCAGCAGAGTTGCATGTGAAGTGGGTGGAATCATGTGGGTGCTGTGATCCCCGATGCTGGGCTCTGCAGTGGAGATGGGACGTGCAGGGGGCAGGGAGGTAGCTGGCGGTCCTGTGTGCGTGGGTGCCTGTGTGGGCCTGCAGCCCACTCCCCAGGCCTGGCTCTGGGACCTGTGTGGGGCGGCCACTGGGTCCCTTGCTTGGGGCCCATGTGGAGCTTCGCAGGGAAGGGCATCTGCTGACTCGAGCCTAAGAGGAAGGGTGGAGGTGGGCAGGGGCTCTCTCAGCCCCCCTGGACGCCCCTCGCCTCGAGTTCTGCAGGCACTGAGCCATAGTTCCTGGGCATCTGTGGTCCGGGTCTGCAAGACCTGAGGCAGCGGGACTGTGTGCCCTCTGTCTGCTCACAGGTAGCTCAGAATGTCACCATGTTTTCCTTAGGACCAGGGGGTGGCCTTCGCAGTCAGTCCTTGCGGCCTTACTTCCGGGCTCCCCTGTCTTTACACGGGAAATGTCCGAATGTTCATTCTGGAGTGGATGAAGCCCTTACTGTTTCCCTGGAGCAGCTGCTGAAGGACTCGGTCAGCCATCCTGCTCTTGGTGAATTTTTCCCTCACAGCATTCACAGTGGCACATGAGGCTTAAAAATCAGAATGCCGACCACACGTGTGACGAGTTCACAGCGCTCTGTCGGTGGTGAATTCTGTGCAAGTGGCACAGCCCAGCTTCCAGCTGGGGCCTCTCCACTCCTGGGTGTCGCTGCAAGCGAGTGGTTCTCTCTGGGGCCATGGAGGGGCCAGTTTGACTTTGAAGAGCATGTTACGCTTGTCGCTACCTGCTCCCGAGGCTTAGAGAGAGAGAGGATGAGAGAGTGGCTTCTTTAAGGGGTGTGGACCCTCCGCATGCTGACACACCTGCACCCAGCGGGTGAGGGACCCCACACATGCCTGACTGCCTTCAAGCGTCTCTGGACTCTGGCCCCACATTCCTGCTTTTCTCAAAATTTGGAGGTTTGCCTAATCTTGTGAGAGGGAAACCTCTGTTCCCTGCACTTATCCTTCAGCCCCTTGCTTCTTTTCTTCCACATCATTGGAATGTGCTGTCCTTCATCTTTGGTGCTATCATGTGGGGTCCAGCGCCTGCTTCTGTCTGTGCCCAAGCGTGGCACTGATGCCCTTGCCTCTTCCCAGCCGCCCCATCTGTGCCCATGCCTTCTGTCTCCAGTGCCATCTCCTGGGGCTCATTGGTGTTTGCTGAGCAGTGACAAGAGGAAAAACATCCTGACAGCTGTATTTTTTCCAGACAAGTCATCATTTAGGATGAATGGCTTTTCTTTTCATTTTAAGAGTGCTTTATTATGGGCCAAGCTGAGGACACTAGATTTGGCCATTTGATTGTCAGGACAAATGTAGATTGGTGAGATGTGTGTCCAGCATGGCCCTTTACCCACCTCTCACGAGGCATCATCTCCCAGAACACTGGGTCATTAGACCCAAGACAAACCACAAGCCTTTGAAAACAAGGCCACGTCCGAAATCTGACAGGTGTGTCTGCTTCTGAGAGGCACCCCCTTAGCACAGGGTCACATGATCAGGAAGTACTCAGATCAAAGGGTTCCAAGCGTCTCACTGAATACCTTCCCCTTCAAAGTGTGGCGCTCAGTGCACTGTGATGTCTTGTGCTCTGTGCGACCAGTGCCCTTACGAGCTCTGCAGTGGTTCCAAGACATGACTGAGCCAGGCTGGTTTGTCTTGGTGATTGAAGTGACCGAGAGACACGGCTGAAGGTGCCTTTGAGAGGGGCTGCTCTGCAAAGCCAAGTGAGTCTTCAGTCTGATCGCTGCGAGCTGCTCCCCACCCCCCGTGGTCAGGAAAGGAGCATTCTCACTTTTCCCAGGAGCCCTGTCACTCAGGGGCTTGTGGCCCCTGCAGCTAGGAGAGCCCGGGCGGAGCAGTGGGGGGCCGGGTCAGGCAGCCAGGGAGCCACTGGCCACACTCGCCTGCATCTCCTCATCCCGGGTCAGGGCTGGGGCTCTGGGTGCTGGGGCAGCCCAGGCCTGGCTCCCGTGGCTAGGCTCTGCACTGTCCCTGCCTTTGCAGCCCTGTTGAAGGGTCCGTTCCAGCCTTGCATGCTCGCTGGTCACCTGTTCCCGAGGAGTGAAGAAATGGCGCACACCCACACACTTGTTGGCGGGGTTTCCCTGCGTGGCTTCCCAGAGGAGACACAGGCGCCAGCACCTTGAGGGGAACATATGTCGGCGGCCCCAGCAGGTGCAGCCGTGCCCCTGACTCACTGCTGTGCTCCCCAGGTGTTGGCAGATGCTGTGGCCCGCTTGGTCCTTGATAAGTTTGGTGACCTGACAGACAACTTCTCCTCCCCGCATGCTCGTAGGAAAGTCCTCTCCGGGGTCGTCATGACAACAGGTAAGCCTCTGGTGCTGTTGGTCTGCCTCATTTCACCGCACGATGGGGGGATGCTGCCAGGGGGTGGTCATCCTTGCAGCGTCTGCTGGGTTCAGGAGCTGCACCATGTCGTTTCCCTGAATGTTCATCTTTTGAACCTGAGTGTGTCTCACTGGAGAAAGTGGCTGTATTCACGAGCGGTTCCTGTAGTGTTACAGGAATGGTTTTGACCTGCTCTGGGGAGCTGCACTTAGTCCAAATGTGGCCCCACTGAGTGAATGACCTTGGGCAGGAACCCCGTGTTTCCTCATTTGCAAAATGGTGGCAGTGTTGAGTGTGCATCTCACAAGTCATTGTGGAAGGAGGTGAACACACTTAGCTCTGGCCTCACCCGTGTGTGTCGAGCTCAGCATTTGCCCAGCTGATGCATGTGGCTCTGTGGCCTGCGGTCTGTCGGCAGGTTTGTGAGACGGATCGCTCTGTGCCCACCACGCTGACTAGCATGCTGTGAATTACGGCCGCATTTTTTTTTTTTCGTCCCCCTGGGGGCTGGTATGCCATCGCTCCCAGCCTCTTCAGTGCTCCGATAGTGATTTCAGGGTTGTTACCAGGCCAGTTAGCCTGCCATTACAGTGTGCTTCCTGCCTGTATCTAACGGGTAGTGTTGGAGAAAAGGAATCCTCAAATAGAGACCCTTTGCACTAAATGATGAGGAAGGCTAACATCCCAGAAGGTTCCAGAGCAAGTGCCTGAGTTTGCCCATGAAGAAGCAGGTGGTAGGATGGGTCTGAAGGTGAGCCAAGCAGTCTGTTGACATGTGAATCAGGCCGCTGGGAACGCAGGTCAGACTCCAGGAGCACAGACAGACACAAGTCACGGGATTGTGAGGGATGATTTCTCTTCTGTTTTTCAGGTACAGATGTTAAAGATGCCAAGGTGATAAGTGTTTCTACAGGAACAAAATGTATTAATGGCGAATACATGAGTGATCGTGGTCTTGCATTAAATGACTGCCATGCAGAAATAATATCTCGAAGATCCTTGCTTAGATTTCTTTATACACAACTTGAGCTTTACTTAAAGTAAGTTTATTAAGTAAGTAAATAAAGGAAGCTCTTCTGAAGAAATATTCCTTCCTATCAGAATGTATTGCAAAACTTTTCACTGTGTCTGTAATCACTGAAAAACTCTTAAAATAGTAACTATATTGGTAACCGTGGTTGGACCCCATCTTCCCATGGTGTTGAAGCTACAAAATGAAGTTGGCTAAGTTGTAAAACACATACACATGTACATGTGTGTCTACACTTAGCACAGCTCTAGGTTTAAAGTCTGTGGGCAAGACCGTGTGCTCTTGTGCAACATAAATGTAAATAGAACCTGCCTGGTGAAGATGTTCCTTTGTACTCTAGGCACCATGCATAAAAATAACTAGTTATACATCCAACTGCTTTCCTTCATAAAGCCATTTCTGGCATTTGGTCTTCCTGCTCTGAGGCCATTGTTGAGAAGAGGGAAAGGCTGCTCGCCTCTCGATGACATGCTCTCGATTGAGTGGCCACAACTATGTTCACTGTCATGAGTGTGTGAAATGACTGTTCTGGCACAAGCTCTCCCACACTCTGCAGAAAGCCCGGGCCTTTGAAAGCCATCGTAAGCTGTGACAGGTGCAAGCCATCACAGCTTGGAAGTTTATTTCTGCAACCTTTTTCCTTTCAGTAACAAAGATGATCAAAAAAGATCCATCTTTCAGAAATCCGAGCGAGGAGGGTTTAGGCTGAAGGAGAATGTCCAGTTCCATCTGTACATCAGCACCTCTCCCTGTGGAGATGCCAGAATCTTCTCCCCACATGAGCCGATTCTGGAAGGTATGAGACGAGTTCAACTGGAGAAAACGCGGGGCTTCACAGTAACTGAGAATAGAAAGAACCCACGTTAACACCCCATCTTTGTTTAAAATTTCAGCCTGAATGTGGGTCCGATGGGAGTATATAAAAGCAAAAGTCTTTTCTTTTCAATGAATAATTTAATTAGAAAATTTTAATGAATGAAAAACATTGATCCTAATAAGCTAAGTAATTAGGGTAAGGATATTAGGCAAAATCTTTTACAGTACTTGAATTTGGATAATATGTATGGAGGCATGTCCTCTTCTGTATTTCTGGTGAATTGTAGTTTAACTCATGTAGTCGAAGCATTTGGCTGAAATCTCAAGCTGGTCGGACAAGGAAAGAGATGCCCTTGCCCTGAGTCGCCTCTGCCCTTCTCTGCACTTGGGGCTCTGCCTTCGTGCGGTCCTTGTACTACGTGTCTGTTTGCAAGCTGAGCATGGTTTATTAAAAAAAAAAAGACACATACCAGTGTGGAGAACCGCCATATGTGAAGATATAAGGAAGAAAACGGGGTCCCCCCATTCATGCAGCCTACTGGGTGTTTCTGCTTCCTGTGGATGGATTTCTATACCCCCATCATTTATTTTTGAAAATTAAAAAATACGGGGAAATCCAAATATCTATCCTAGGAGAGCAAAGTTTGGCATTTGTCCTATTTGCTTTGGCTCATTTTTAATGATTAAAGTAAATAATTTTTGTTAAATCGGAAGGACTTTCTTCCCTCAACCCCTCAGGAGACCACTTCTGTGAATTTGGTTTGTATCATGTCTGCCCAGTCCAGTTTCATATACTTAGTTTGCACGCATATCTTAAGTGGAATAAATGCCTGCTTATGGGGTGTGGGCTGCATTTTAAGTTTATAGGGAGCTGTCAGAGGCGCTTTTCCATGAGGTAAGTAGATCAGGTCTTGGACCTTGTTTTTCTCTCTTAGAACCAGCAGACAGACATCCAAATCGAAAAGCCAGAGGGCAGCTGCGGACAAAGATAGAGTCTGGTGAGGGGACGATCCCTGTGCGGTCACATGCGAGCATCCAGACGTGGGACGGCGTGCTGCAGGGGGAGCGGCTGCTCACCATGTCCTGCAGCGACAAGATGGCACGGTAAGGTCCCTGCCTGCTCTGCCCACAGTCTGTCCTGCCCCTGCCCCGGGGTCCCAGCCTTCTTTGGAGGACTGAGGTCCTGAGCAGGAGCCGCAGGGCCTGTCCACAGGCACCTCGGCTCCTCTCATAGGCTTGCCCACACGGCTGCTGGGGTGAACTTGTATGCAGATGGGACATTTTGAGACTGCTCCCAGAGAACACAGAGCTCCTCGCTGTAGTTGGCGGAGTTCACGCAGAGCGCACATTCAAGGGGAACAGGCTCGGACAGGCAGTGGGGGTGCGGGCTGCCACAGGCACTGTGCTCTCAGCACAGGGAGCCCCCACAGCCATCCAGGCGGCAGTGGTTACGGGGAGCTGGGGCTCTGCACACACTCTGGCTCACATTTGCATGAGAAATGCCATTCTTTCTGAAGCCTTTGCCAGGTCCCATGTGCATAAGCATCTTTCCAAAGGCTGGTGAGCATCTCATGTTGACCATCTATTGTGGGTCTTATCAGGGAACGTAGAATACATAAACTGAATTCATCATACTTTGTTCTATGCAGTGGACCAGAGCTACACTGGGATGTGTGTACTTACTATGTCTTTTCTGTCTACTTCCATATGCTTTGTGTGAAAAAATACACAGTGGTGTCATTTCAGGATGTTGGTATGTTGTTAACATACAGCAATGGAAGTATATTTTAAATCCCATTCTGTATCTTGTTTTATCCATCCCAGGGTTTGAGAACTATCCCTGATGCTATAATAAACAGCCAGTGATTCTTTCTGACCTTTGCAAAGAGCCCATTGTAGTCACAGGCCACATTACGTCCCTGTCCCTGGTGATAGAAGCTTGGGTCTCCTCTGACTCCCTTCTGCAGTACAGCCGTGCATTTCTATGAACACAGCTCATTACAGACCTTTGCCATCCATGAGTCATACACACATATGACATCCCAGAGAAAAGCCAGGTGCACCCCCAACAGCCACACTGGTCCAGTGGTGCGCGAGGTTGGTTTCCACCATGTCAAAACTGGTATTTCATGGTTTTCATTTCCATGTCTCTTATCACTAGGAATGTTGAGGGTCTGTTCAGCTGCCCACCCCTCTGTGGATTCCTGTTAATACCCTTTTTCATATTGATTTGCAAAATTCCTTTTATAGTTTATATTGTAATCCCTAATGGTTTGAGGAGCTTCCATGTCTTCTCCAGGTCCAAATCAATGTCTCAACTTTGTCCATGTCATCTTCTTTTGAATAGAAACCCCTAATTTTTTTGTGTTCTTACCCATTAAGTTTTTACCATAGGATTTATACTTTTAAGATCTTAAGACATTCCTCCTCAAATTAAGAGTGTATCTATACCTTTTTGTAAGACCTTTATTATTTTACTTTCACATTTAAGCCTTTAGGAAATTTGTATTATATGTAATAATTCAGCTTTATTACTTTAACAGTGAGTCAGTTTTCCCAGTACCATCAATGGAATGACCCTCGTTTTCTTCATTGACCTGTGAATGCACCTCTGATTTATACTGTTACATACTGATGAGTCTGTTTCTAGACTTTTGATTCTCCATTAGTCTATAATTAACTGTAATTGCACAAAATTCATAGTTTTTATTATTCTGAATTTTAATATGTTTGAAGTTCTAATTGGGTAAGACCAGCATTCTTTGCTCTTCCTTTTCAAACTTGTTGCAGGTTTTTAATGAACCTTTATTCTTTGTACATATTTTTGAATCATCTTATCAAGTGTCTCCAAATGTCTTGCTTAGATTTTATACAGAATTATGAAATTATGGATTGAAATGGAAAGAATCAACATTAAGTTAAACCAGTCCATCCATGAATATTGTATGTATGTCCATATTTAAATTTTTTCCTTTATGTCATTTTACAGTTTTTCACAAGGATATTGGGTAATTTTCAACAGATTAATTCCTAGAACTTTATATTTTCTGTTAGTGTGAGAATTGTCCTATTGTCTATTATATACTCTGGATAATTATTGCTGGTTTAAGACAAACACTGCTGATTTATTTTATTGTGGTAAAAACACATGACACAAAATTTACCATATTAACCATTTTTTAAAGATTTTTCTTAAGAGCAGTTTTAGGTTTGCAGTGAAATTAAGAGGGAAATAAAGAGATTCCCATATACTCTTCCTACCCCCACCGCATGCACAGCCTCCTGCATCAGCAACACCCAAACCAGCGTGGGGCATTTGTTACAGTTGGTGTACCTATGTTGACATATCATAATTACCCCAAATCCATAGTTTATAGGGTTCATACCTGGTGTTGTACCTTCTGTGGGTTTGGACAAATAGTATAACAACATGTATCCACCTTTATAGCATCATAAAAAGCATTTTCCCTGCCCTAAAAATTCTGTTCTACCTATTCATCCCCCTTGCCATCCCTGGAAGCCCCTGACTTCCTTACTGTCCCCACTGCTCTGGCTTTTCCACAATGTTACAGAGTTGGAATCCTGCAACATGTCGCTTTTTCAGGCTGACTTCTTTTACTTTGTAATGTTCATTAAGGTTTCTCAATGTCTTTTCATGTCTGGATAACTCATTTCTTTTTAGGGCTGAATAATATTCTGTTGTCTGATGGACCACAGTGTATTTGTCCACTCACCTACTGAAGGACATCTTGGTTGCTTCCAAGTTTTGGCAGTTATGAATAAGGCTGGTATAAATATCTGTGTGCAGATTTTGTGTGGACATAAGTATTTAGCTCCTTTGGGTAGATATAATGAAGTGTGATTGCTGGACCATATGGTAAGCGTATATTTAATTTTGTAAGAAACCTCAAAACAATATGTAGAGAACTAAAATTCAGCAACAATGGCCAGATATGGGCAAAGAACTTAAATAGACTCATTTCCAAAGAAGACATACAAACGGCAAGTGAAACGATGCTCAACAGCACTAACTGTTAGGGAAATGCAAATCAAAACCACAGTAAGATGCCACCTCACACCCATAAGGTCAGCTACTATAAAAAAGTAATAATAATAAGTGTTGAGAGGATGTGGTAGAATTGGAACCCTTGTGCACTGCTGGTTGGAATGTAAAATGGTGCAGTTGGTGTGGAAAATCATATGGAGGTTCTTCAGAAGAATGACCATGTAATCCAGTAATTCTACTACTGAGTGTGTACCCCAAAGAATTGAAAACAGGATCTCAGAGATATTTGTACACCCATGTTCATAGAAGCATTATTGACAGTAGCTAAAACTTGATGAGGTGTCTGTTAAGATCTTTGACCCATTTTTTAATTGAGTGTTTGTTTTCTTATTGTTGAGTTTTAAGAGTTCTTTGCATTTTGTGGATAACAGTCCTTCATCATGTTTCTTTGCAAAATTTTCTCCCAGTCTGTGACTTGTCTTTTCATTTTTTGGATATTGTTTTTCACCAAGAAGAAGTTTTAATTTTATGCAGCCTAGCTTATCAGCTATTTCTTTCATGGATTGTGCCTTTGGTGGTGTATCCAAAAAGTCATCACCATATCCAACGTCATCTAGACTTTCTCTTATGTTATTTTCTAGGAGCTTTATAGTTTTGCATTTTACATTTAGGTCTGTGATCCATTTTGAGTTAATTTCTGTGAGGTGTAAGGTCTTTGTCTAGATTGGTTTTTTGCATGTGGACAGCCAGCTGTTCCAGCACCATTTGTTGAAGGGACTGTCTTTGCTCTATTGAATTACTGTTGCTCCTTTGTCAAAGATCAGAACTGTATTTGTTAGATCTACTTCTGGGCTCTATCCAGTTTCATTCTTCTTTTTGTCTGTTGTTTTGCCAATACCACGCTCTCTTGATTTGGGTTCTGAATTCCACTGTGTATGTGTTTTGGTGGCTGGGATGGGGGCCCATCCCCCACACATCCAACAAGCTTTTCTCAGATACCAGCTGGGTGTCCTATAATCCGGCTCAGTTCTGACACCACCTACCTAGAGTAAATATCAGATCCCACAGATAAGGGCTCAGTCCCACAAAAATGCCCTCCCCACCACTTCAGATGCCAGTCACAAACAGGTTGTCATCTGTGCTTTTGACCAACCAACTGTAGTTCGGAGGTTCCCAGGACCTCCTCTGGGTTTGATTAATTTGCTACAGTGGCTTACTGAGCACAGAGAAACATTTGCTCCCTGGATCAGTGGTTTATGATACAAGGATGTAACTCGGGAGTGTCCAGAGGGGAGAGACGCACAGGTTGGGGCGTTGGGCAGGCACAACCACATGTGCCACTCTCGCCAGCACGTGGCTGACTCAGAAGCTCTCCAAACCCCGTCCTTTTGAGTTTTTATGGAGGTTTCATTACACAGGCGTGATTGATTAAATCACTGGCCATTGGCAAAGGATTTACCCTCCAGCCCCTTCCCCTTCCCAGAGATCAGGGAGGGAGACTGAAAATTCTGTCCCTCTAGCTACATGGTTGGTCCCACAGGCAGCTGCCCCACCCATAGGTGCTCTCCAAAACCCATTGATTGCACAACAAAAGACACCTTCCTGGCACTCATCAGTTAGGAAATTCCTAGGGTTTTAGCTGTGAGCCAGGAACCATGGACAAAGACCAAGTATATGTAAGAAATGTATTTTGGTCATTCAGATGACCAAAGTATATTTCTTATAAATCCCAACATCACAATCATTATAGCTTTGTAGGAAGTCGAAGTCAAGTAGTATCAATCCTTCAACTCTGTTCTCCTTCAGTACTGTGTTGGCTATTCTGGGTCTTTACCTCATGTGGGTTCCTGGACTCAATTCCAGTGTGTGTGCGTATGTTCAGGGGACGTGCTCCCTCCCCAACTACACCACCAGGCAATTCTCAGACACCAGCAGGGTGTCCGAGGACGCGACTCAATTCTTGCTCTCTGCTCGGAGAGCACCAGATCCCCAGATCAAGGACTCCATCCTACAGGACTTTCCTCCACTCCCCACCTCCAAATGCCAGTGGCAAGCCGCAGGCTGCTGACCAACCGGCTACAGATGGGAGGTTCCAAGTGTTGTTGGGCAGTCTAATCCAGGGAGGTCTCCCTGCTCACTGGGTGAGACCTCAGCCTGGGAGAGGGCTCTTGACTCCGACTGAGAAAGAATTCACGAACAGGTTGGATGAGTGTAGGTAAGGAAAGAACTCATTAAAGCAAGAGTAGCAGCAAATGGCAGCAACCGTGGAGGCAGCAGAGAGCAGGGAAGAGCAGAGGGAGGAGCGGGAAGCTCATTGGACTCCTGCTCAGTGCAGGGCAGACCCTCTGCCAACTCCTAGACCTAGGCTCACCTGGCGTCCAGTGCCCACTTGAATCTGCACAGCATTGAAGCTAAGCCCCGACCACCCAGGATGTGGGGGAGCTGCAGAGCACTGGGTGGAGTGAGGTTCTGTTCTGAGAACTCCCCAAAGCAAAGAGATTTCCCAGCAGGCCGCTAAAGAGCATCATCATAGAGCTGCAATTCCGTCTGGGTCACCCAGGTGACAGGAACTTGCAAGCCCAAATCAGAGATCTCAGTAGCCCTTCCCTACTTGTCTGAAGTAGGACAGGAAAAGAGAAGACTGTGCTTAAGTCTAGAAAACTGAGTGAAATAGCGAAGTGGCAGAGACACCTCTGGAGGTGGAGGTCGATGAGTTCTTGTCTTATCATGAAAAAGAGTAGAGACAAAGTGCAATGGGCTTGTACAACAAGAAAGGTAAACTCAGACGGGAGCATGGCCACCTCAGAGAGGAGGTGCAATTAAAGGTTTAGGATTTGGGTTTTTAAGGATTTCAAGAATGGAGTAAAGGGCCAGGGAGCTTAGGCTTACTGTGGTCTCATGATGTCTGTCTCTGGTGAGAGACAGTATGTCACCACCCATAGTCTGTCCTCTAGATTTTCTGTAAGATAAACTTGACACAAGGAATCTATTAGTCCTGTTCTCCAAGACAGTGGTAGCCTTCAGGCAGTGGGGACATAACATTTAGGACTGCTTGCCCTGCCTTAAGATAGGGTTGGTTATTGGCTGATTACCATAAAGTATGTTAGGAATCTTATGTCCTAACTCCCTGGTTTTTAAAATGGAAGCTTAGCCTTGAGATGGAGTCCCTCTGTTCTTACTATACTATTTGTATCTCAGCATTTTTCATCATAGTCTGGAAGAGTTAGTCATGATGCTTGTCTCATGTCCCTGTCCTACCTCACAGCAACCTCCCCCTTAGGTTCAATGAATTTGCTAGAACAGCTCACAGAATTCAGGAAAACACTTATGTTTACCAGTTTTAAAGAGTACCTTAAAGGATACAGGTTTTAACAGCCAGATGAAGAGATACACTGGGCAAGGCCCCAAACAAAGGAGTTTTGTCCTCGTGGAGCTTGGGGCCTGGCTCAGTGGTACGTGGAAGCTTCCTGGTCCTCCAAGTATAGAAGCCTCTCCAGCAGAGCAGCAGGACACAAGGCAGAGACACACTCTTCCCATGGGTGTTTGTGAGGGCTTCATTGCCGTCACAGCTGACTGAATCGTGGGCCATTCAACCCCAGCCCCTCTGCCCTTCCCCTCCCGGGTTTTGGGGGCTGGGGGCTGAGAGCTCCCACCCTCTGATCACAGGGTTGGTCCCCCTGTCAACCGGCCCTGCCCCTGGGTGGGTCCAAAAGTCTGTCCTTCACATAACAAGACACCCATTTCAGTTCTATGGCTCTGAAGTATTTTCAGAACCTGTGGATAAAGAACAAATACATCTGAGAAATATATATTTGGTCATCTGAATGACCAAATATATATTTCTCATAACTCCTTATATCACATTACCTTTTCATATAAACTGTAGAATCAATTTGTCGGTATCTGCAAGGTGCCTTGCTGGGGTTTCGATTGGGACTGCATTGCATTCATAGATCGAGTTGGGAAGAGCTGGCATCTCGATTCTTCTATCCATGAACATGACATATCTCCTCATTTACTTAGTTCTTTGATTCTTTCATCAGTGTGTTGTAGTTTTCCTCATATAGATCTTAGGTTAGATATATACCTAAGTGTTTTATTTTTGGAGGTATTAATGTAAATGGTACTGTATTTTTAATTTCAGATCCACTTGTTCACTTTTGGTCAAAACTTATTTTTGAACAAGGTGCAGTGTCAGTTCACTGAAGAAAGAACAGTCCCCAACAAATTGTGCTGGGCAGTTGGATGTCCCTGTGTAAACACAAACAAATGAGCTTCATATTCTGCACAATATATAAAAACTCAAAATGGGTGATAGACCTAAATATGTAAAAGTTCTAGAAGAAAACAGGAGAAAATCCTGGCAATTGGGATATGCAGTTTCTTAGATATAATACCAAAACACTCTCCATAAAAGGAAAAATGGATAAATTGGATTTCGTCACATTAAAAAATGCTTCTCCTTGAAAGACACTGTTGAAAGAATGAGATAAAGTTACTGACTTGGAGAAAATATTTGCAAATCATGTATCTGATAAAGGACTGACATCCACAATATAAAGACGCTCAAAACTCAACAACAGGGAAAAGCAATTTTTAAATTGGGCAAAGTATTTGAATGGACTCTTTACCAAAAGAGAAGTCATATCAGCACAAGAAAAGAGGCTCGTTTTCATTAGGAATTTGCAAATGAGATGCAAAGGCTCCCCCAGTAGGATGTGAAATTAAGAGGACCAGCCACACCAGGTGTTCACGGTACACACAGCTCGTGGGGCCACCTTGGGAGGGGATGAGGCTGGTGTCCAGCAGAGGCAGCTCCTGGGTCTGCCCTGGAGAAAGCCCCACAGGAAGGCTGGCAGGTGACCCCAAGCACAGAGCAGAGCTGGCAGTCAGGCGTGGGCCAGGGCCCGTACAGATGCAGTTCACCCTGCTCCACGTGCTCACCACACTGACCCACTGGGCCTCACCTTCTGCCTGCTTCACGAGGGTCAGGGGCCCCTGGACCCAGGCCCGAACTACAGGTGTACGAACATGAGCTGCAGAGGCGAAGCTCGTGGCCTGCTCAGTGAAGGTGGTATAGGAAGGGCTCTAGGGACAGCGGTGGGCCTCACCCCGCACTCCCATAGGCCTGTCCAGAGTCCTGCAGCTCCCCATGCCCAAGCTTCTGTGTCCCTAAAATCGCCCCTGTGTCCCGTCCCCACTTCCAGCCTGTGCTGTGTGGAGGCGGTCCCCCATGGCCTCCCGCCTGCAGTCCCATGGTCTGTGTCTGCAGTCCTCAGACACAGGCCCGGTCCGTGCACCCCCACAGCGATGTTATGTGAGCGGGTGTGCTGCCTTGGCTGAAGCCTTGAGCAGCACCCCTGCTCTCCTGAGACCACTGCCCAGACTTGCCATGTCCCTCCTGGTCTGAGCCGGGCTGGCCGTCCTCCACCTCACAAGGCCCTGATCTTGGGCTGAGTGTCAGGGTCGCCCTCCAACCGTCCCTGAGATCAGCACCCCGCTTGCCCTCCTCAGGCGGCCTTCACCCCCACTGCTGGCTCTGGGGGCGCATGGCCGCTCCCCGCACTCTGCACAGGCTACTCGGCCACCCCTGCTGTCTGCAGGGCTCAGAAAGAGAGCAGAGGCGGCCCATGAGACTGCGTGCACTGGACTTGAAACCCAGCCCCAGAAGCTCTGTGACCAGAGTGGCTCATACCATACCTAATGTCTGCTGAGCCCACGTGCCGCTTCCACCCGCTCCCAGTGTGTTCAGTGGGCACCGCTGCTTCCCCAATGGGAGGGGCAGTGTGGCAGCAGGGTGCTCGGCCTCCACGCCCAGGCTGGCCCGGGTCCTGGGGCACCAGGCGCCAGGCAGTTTGCACCTGCACATCAAACTGGGCTGGATTCAGTGTTGCCACCAAGAACCAGGAGCAACCCAGTTCACTGTTTTCAAGGACTCCTCTAGAGCTGTCATTTTTGTTAGAAGTAAAATGCTTGTTTTCCCTTTGATTTTTCTCATGAGAAACGTGACTGTATTGACCGCGTTTCAGGACCAGTCTTTGGTAAATGTGTCCTCTTGTAAGTATAATGGCAAGAGACCGTTTCAAAGCTCAGGTGATTTTGAAGTAGATTTTTCTCCTTAAAATGCTGAACTACTAAGCCGACTGTTTCTCACTGCATCCTTTAGTTGGTGGGCCGCTGTACAGGACTCAGTCTGTAGCCAGCAGTGTGGCATGTGCCAGTCTGGTGCTCGGTCTGAGCCCCCTCCAATGAAGGCTGTTCCCTCTGCCTGCAGGTGGAATGTGGTGGGCGTCCAGGGCTCGCTGCTCAGCGTCTTTGTGGAGCCCATCTACTTCTCCAGCATCATCCTGGGCAGCCTCTATCATGGGGATCATCTGTCCAGGGCCATGTACCAGCGGATCTCAAACATAGACGACCTGCCCCCTCTCTACACCCTCAACAAACCTCTGCTCAGTGGCAAGTATCCCAGTGTGGCCAGTCTCGAGGCTAAAATGCCACAAGGAGGCTGTTCTGTGGCCTCAGGGAAGTCTGGGCTGTTCTGAAAGGATGGGGCTGCATGGGGACCCGTAGAGAGATTTGAGTGGTCCCGTCACGAGATTCACCTCTTATGGGAGAAAACATTCCCCTCTCTGAACAATCATGGCCCAACCCAGCACCTCCCTGCTCCTCTCCGGCTGATGCATGTCGGTCAGGTCCTGTCTCAGCAGCAGGCTGGCCGAGGCTGTGGCAATCATGTGGGCCTCGCCTGTCTGAGGCTGAGCTGGCCAGGCACCCAGGACAGGCCCTCGGTAATGGGCTGCACCCCTCACATCCTGGCCCGTTCTCGGGATGCTGGTGGTAAAGTGAAGATGCACCCAGGATGAGGAGGTGACTCTGGGGTTCCTGCACCTTCCCTGATGCCCTTTGTCACTGGTCTTTTTGCTGTTTTTCTTTAGAATTTCAGTGGCTAAACAGTTAAAGTGAACAACAGCGTTTGAGTTCGAGGGTCCTAGTTTTCCTAGCTTCCCCTGTCACCAGCAGGACATGGTGAAGGTATTTTTATCCTTTTCAAAATAACATTTACTTACTTTTTTTAAGCTCAGAACTAAAATCATAATCCTAAACTAAAGCGTGTTATTTGGTGTGTGCACTCTGCTGTGCTTTGCAGAGCTGGGCTAATAGCACGTCTTTAACTGGAGAAGAGGCATGTGGAATTTTATTTGAAAGCATGTCTCTTAGAGCACATAAACTATGTGAGGAACAGAGAAAAACAAGTTGTTTCAGATCAAATTTTATAGTGCCCTAATGTTAACCATTATTAAGGAAAAAAAGATTCTGATAAAGTTTGATGGAGGATAATTTGAAATTGTACCATTGGCAGCCGTCACCTTCCTTCAGAGCGGGTGCCGTGCTGTCGGCATTCCTCACAAGCCAGAAAGTGACTTTCCCTGCTCAGTCTCTGCTCCGTGCTAAGGAGCACACGTTGTTTCACCTCACTGACCCTGTCTGTCTTCTGTATTCACAACACTTGTCTGTGAAATATGGGGCATGTGGGAAATGTTCAGAAGTAGCTGTTAGTGCCTTGCTGAATAGTCTTGTCTGAGCAACACGGCTTCTGTAACTAAAATCGGTGAAGGTGGTCATTTTCTAAAGGAAATTGTAAGATACGAAAATAGAGTTAATTAATTAAAGTCAGGGGTTGTAAAGTTGTCAGTGCATTATGGATATTTGTTAAAAATATGATGTGACAAATACAGGAATCTACCCTTCATTCTTGTCTGGCCCCAGAGCCAGAGGTGCAGGCATTGTGGTCTTGGCAGAGTACCTGCCGTGGGCACGCTGAGCTACCTGGGAGGCCAGGCCCTGCTGTGGCTCTAGCCCACTACTGGCTTCTGTGCCTTAGTTTCTTTGCCTAGTGACTGCAATGGACTGGGTGCCCTGCATGACCCTCTGGGTGAGTGTGTTAGAATTCTAAGAAATATGAGGACAGCTCTCCTGTTGCAGGGAGCAGAATACCCCCAAAGACTGAGCCAGTGGACAGTGTCACTCTGGCATCAATGTCCATTTTGAAATACCAACTATTGAAATATTTTACTTTGGATAAATGCCTCGTTTTGGAAGCATTGGGGTTATGTCATTGTTTTCCTTGAATGGATTTCAATGGGTGCAGCAAGTAGCTTTGGGGAAGACACCTGCAGACTGGGCACCCCGTCTGCAGTGGGGGACAGCGCAGCAGGGCAAGGAGAGCCAGGGGCCGCATGGGAGGGAGGCGGGCATGTCTCTCTCTCCCTTGGTGCGCCAGCATGAAACGTACTGTGTGAAGAGCTGTGACTGAGCAGGAGCAATGTGGGTGTCATCACAGATGAAGGGACTGGACAGGAGAGGCCCCGAGGGCCCGGTGCTGCAGGAGATCTGCGAGGCCACACTCCTGCAAGATGGGCCCTAAGCAAAGCCTTCAAAACTGCCTCTCAGAGGCTCCATGTCACAAGTGGCCCAGACAGGGGAAAAGGCAGGGCATCTTGTCTCCTTCGGTCCTCGAGCGTGTACATGTTTATGACCGTTTGTACTGCGTTTGCCCGACATCCTGCACCTGACATCTCAGCACAGGTCATTCCCATGTTGCCAGGGGAGTGACATGGGATGGTGCCCAGGGTCCCATGCGTCCTACAGGAGGAGCAGAGGGACACACAGCAGCACTGAGACCAGACCCTGAGCCCGAGCTTGTCCAGCAGGTACATGTGGGGGGTCCAGTGATGGGCCATGGTCAGAGCGACATGAATTTCATTTTCACTTCAGCACAAATGTGTGTTTATGAGTTTCTTGGTGGTGAGCCGCAGTGCACTGGCCTTTGCTGTGAACACGCATGTGGCACCTCAGCTAGTGGTGTGGAAGGACAGTCTCCTGAGCCCCATCCTTGATCGGCTCCAGGCCCGGGACCTGCAAGTCTCAGGACACCTCCGGCTCCTGACCCATGTCCCTTGGTGCTCTGTCATTTCCCGCAGGCCTGATTGCTGTCCTGGCGCCAAGGGAGCCCAAGAGACTCGTGTCCCTACTGTCCCAGTGCCATGGCTCCAGGTGCTGTGGAGACAGACAGGCTGCCCTGGGGTCACTGGGGAGACCCCACAGCGCTGGTTTCACCACCAGTGTCATGGCAAAGCAACAAACGCAGTGGCGTGGGGGGAGTGAGCCTCGAGTCCAGGCTAAGGTCGTGGTCTCTGGAAGGTGGGGTAGCAGTCCAAAGGGCGTGGCAGGGCCAGGTGTGCGGCGCTGTGTAATGTGGGTGAAGTGGCTGACTGGCGCCCAGATAGCAGAGCCTTACGGCACAGACAGTAAATGTAATGCGTTTCCAGGCAGCAGCATCCGGGACGCGGGGAGAGAGGACATGGTGACACTGCCATTCCCTGTGTCCGCTGTCTGGAGGGGTGACCTGCCTCAGATCGTGCCACAGCACTCCACCAGGCAGCGGGCAAGACTGACCCAGGGCGCAGGTGCATCCTGACTCCCCGCATGCGTGTTTCTGTCCATGACACTAACTGTTTTTCCTCCCTTTTTGCTGGACTGATGAAATTGTCTTTTTCTCTTTTTTACACTGGTGGTTTGGACCTTCTAGATCTTACTTCTGTTTTAACCAATGATTACCCTTAATTTTTAAACAAATGTATTTGAACCACTTAAAAAAAATCTCAGCATCAAGAATTAACTGTAATTCTGTAAAGCTCCTGACACGAGAAGCTAAAACCACAGGCTTGTTTTCCCCCCCACACTGTGCCCACCTCCCGGTCTGGACAGACCACCCTGTGTTTTAGAAACTTTTCCAGGAAGCCCCTCCTGGCAAGTCCCACATCCTCAGTGGGGGACGGAGCACGGTTCTTGGTGGGCTGGGTTTTTGCTGGTGGGGGGAAACCGCCTGGGTGAGTGCTATGTGCTTCGAGTTGGGTGCCGGGCGTGGATGCCTGCAGACATCAGCCCTGGGTCCCCTCAGGCCACCGCCATCGCCTTTCCTTTCTAGGGACCCCCTTTCAGTTTTCTCTCTGGTAGCATTGAATTCATCTCTTCTCTTAAAATTTGGAAATTTCAACAGATTAAGCCCAGATCTGTAACTAGTTCTTCTTCTTTTCTGCTTACTGGATGCTTTGGTTGGATAATTGAGTCTTCAGGTGAGGGAGGTTTTCCTCAGTTTTTATCTTAATAGTTGCGTTTCCTCCATCCACAAAAGTTCTGAGCATCTTGAATGGTAAAATACCATTGCCTGTGTAGTCAGTGACACCTTTGAGGGCTTTGCAGAGGTTACAATTGCTGTACTTGATTGAGTGCAGTCTTCACACATAGCCTGGACATATGCTTCTTCCAGCCACTGGACAGGGTTCTGCTGTGGCGCCTGGGTGCCCCACCCTGTGAGTGCGTGCTGGGCACCCCTGCCCCAACCGTGGACTGAGCCACAGACACCTCAGGGCTCATGGAAGGTTACTGTGCCGCTCCATAGCACCCACAGAGCTTGGACCTGCTCTGATGTGCCTCCTACCTCCTACAGGGACATGAGTGCTGTGTCTCTGTCCAGCAGGACAGTCCGAGCCCACTCCTTGCCTGGTGACCCCCCACCTCCTGCCTCCAAAGTCAGGCTTCCCTTCCCTGATCTTTCAGGCGTGGTGGTGGTGGGGATGGCTGGACTGAACACAGCTGTCTCTCATTGTCTTCAGGGCTGCCTGGCTGGGCGAGGGACCGGCTCATTCCCTGCCCCTGCGTGTGCGGCCCCACCAGGTCGCAGCACTTTCTGGACCAGAGTGCGGGCCCCGAGGACTCCTGGGAGGAGGAAGTCTCGCTGTCCAGAGGTTCTCTGGGCCAGAAGGCGGGAGGTGGCCAGCCAGCAAGGTGGCTGTGAGTGCGTGCTGGGCACCATGTTGGGCATCGGTGCCCCTTGGTCTCGTCTGCTCCTCTCATCAGCTTGGCCGCGCTTCACCGTAAAAATCAGAATGAAAAATCTCAGGCTCTGCTCCTAACATAAGTGACAGGCTGTGTCTCAGCATTTCAGACACAGGGGTCCACAGCCACGGAGGCTCTTCAAGGCCTGGGCCCCGCAGCCTATGTCACCATAACTACTGGGTGCCGTGCCTGCCCCTCCCTTGCCCTGTAACCCCTGCCCAGGTCTTTGTTCACTGGCAGAATAAAGGCTGCTTTCAGCCAAGACTCTTAACTGCACGTCTTCCTGGCTGATCCGTGAATGCCACAGCTTGTGTAGCAGGAGCCCGCAGTGGCTGTGTCTGGTGCTGACCAGTGTGCATAGAACTCATTTCTGAGTGCCCATCAATATATCAGGAACCGCAGGGAATGTCCTGCATAGGGAGGTAGGGAAAAATGGCAGTGCCATCCAAGCTTCCAGGTCTCTGCTCAGCTCTCTGTGAAGCCACCTCGCGGTCTCTCCTTTTCTGCTCTGAAAGTCCGGCTCCGGTGCACTCCCTCTACAGCAGCACAGGGACTCT